AAGGCAAAATGGGAAGAAGTAGTAAATTGTGGGAAATTACAGCAAGTGGGGAATTTAGTGATTTTTGTATGAACATTGACAACTTTCATTTCTAGGAGCAAGATAGGGTAGATAATCATAAAATTGCCCACTGAAAAGTAATTTGAAATTCTGTGTAGGATATACAAATATTCCTTCAAAGGCATAGTTGAGCTTTGGGAAAAGAAAGGAAGAGGGGCCAAAGACCAAAGAGGAAGGCAAAATTCAGAAGAGGAAGTTCTGCTGAACCCACTCGTGCCTGGGATGAGGAGCATGTGTGTATAGACCTTTGTAAATAACGTAAATGAAAAACAAGCTCACCAGAGTAAGCAGCGTCCAAAAGAAAAGGAAACAAAACGAAACAAAGCCAGCATATCAATAACTATTTGAAATGTTAATGCAATATTTCAACACATTAGCAGCTGGAGAGGATGGAGGATGAGATCTGAAAGAGATCCAAGGTGGTGAGGTTATGCTAAGGACGTAGAGAGTGACTGCTTTTACGGTGCGGCAATTGAGCATTAGTATGGATTGTAATAAGAATAACCATGAGTGAAATTAAAGTGGACTGTAGAATTTTCATACCCACAAGAAAAAAGTTGATCCTAGCCAGTAGAAGGTAGGAAGGAGAAAAAAGGGAAAGAGATAGGATGTTCAGATTAAGCTGACAGAATATTTGGGATAAATGTGTGGGGTTAAACTAATCAAGACAGATTGTCCAATGGATAGAACAGAATGTTATAATAAATTATTTATAAAATATATTTAAAAGAACCCAGGCTGAATATAAGGGACTGGAAAAAGTTAACCATGTCAAATACAAAAAGAAAAAAAGAGCAGTAGCTCAAGAGAGTAAAACAGGAACATACACAACATGCAACAATAGAGAAAGCTGAAATTTATGGCATTGGGTATGGGTTAAGTAATTGTAGTTACAAAAAGTACAGTCTTTTCAGAAACTGATGGAACAGTAAGACAATAAACAGAAAGATGACATGGATAACAATGAATTTGATCTACCATGCCCATAGAACTTCTTCTGCAGCAAGTACAGGATACATTTTATTTTGGGGGCATGTGTAGAGTAATGCTTTAACTACAGTGTTTTCAAATCAATCATCATTAACAAAGATAGCCGAAACATCCCATATGTCTGAAAACAAAAAGGTTGACTCTACTCTGAAATAACCCTGAAGTTAGATAGAAATTAACAAGAATAGCAAAATTTTAAAGCTGAGTGATAATAAAAGCACAATACATCAAGATTTGAAAGAGATCGCTAATGGAGTACTTTGAAAGCACTGTATAGCTTTTGTTACCCAGGAGAAAAGTAGAAAGACCCCAGTAAGTTCAAAGTTGGACTCAAACAATTAGAAAAACTGCCATATGGTAAATATGAGACAAGAAAAATAATACGGCAAATCAAATGTAAATGGGGAAAATAAAGTAGAAATAATAAAAGCAAGAGCCAAAACATGGTTCCTTGGAAAAGTAGATATAATTCCTACAAGACTGATGAAGGAAAAAACATAATAAACAAGCAAAATACAAAATAGGTAAAAGAAATAATTATTCACTTTTATTCCATTAAAAAGAATGTGATTTTTTTTTTTTTTTACCAGTGTAAATGAAAATTTAGGTGAAAAGGATGTATGACTAAAAAATTGATGCCAGAAAAGAAACTTAATCAGCAACCATTAAATACATGATAATGATTATCAAAATTTAATCCTCCTTGTCATACAAAAAGAGGCCTAGACAGTAATTCTCTTTAACTCTCAATGAATGGAAAATCCTTGTTCATAAGAGTTCCTATAGAATAAAGAAAAAAGCCAACCTATTAAGTTTGATTTTGAAAATAAAAATCAGGTTAAAAAATAAATTGACCAACTTTCTTATGACATTGAGAATTAACATTAAGAATTCAAATTTAGCAGTGTATTAAAAAATAATTATTATAACTAACTTCAATTAACCATAGTAAAAGATTGTTTTTAAAAAACATCCTATTACTATAATCTCACACATCAATGGCAAAGAACAAGAAATGGTCTGATCAATGATAAAGAAAAAGCATTTAATAAACAATTTTTTCTTTTACAAATTGAACCAACCCTTAGCAAACTTGAAATGGGGAATTTTTTTTTTTTTTTTATAGCTTAAAGCTTTCTACTAAACCTATGGCAGATATCATTCTTGCTGGAAAAACAACTTTTCAGTTTTTTCCTTTAAGGTTGGAAACAACACAGGGGTGCCGGTGTCACTTCTTGACACCTTAACAGGTACCTAACCAATGCAGTTAAACCAACCAAAGTAGAAAAGTTGAAATGAGAGAGATAACTGCCATTATTTCTAAGTAAAACCATTTATATAGGAAACGAGATTAAACCAACTGGAACTGTTAGCTGCACCAGAAAGTTCAGCTAGGTTTCCAGCTTATAAGAGCAACATAAAAAAATCAGTAGTTTTCCTCTATATTGGGAATAACCAATTATAAACTATGATGATAATAATATACCATGTATAATAGTGGCATAAACTAAAAATTATCTAGGAATAAATCTAAGAATTCATAAAACATATAAAGGAAATTTAAAACCCTATTACCAGAGTTTTATTATGGTATTACAGAGCATAAATGCAGCATTCATAAATGGACTGATTGAATATTGTGAAGATACCATACTTTACCTATTAAAATTTAAATTCAGTGCAATTCCCGTCAACATCTGAGCTAGAAGTATTTTGAAGGGGCAGAGTTGCATCTAAACTATATGTGGGATAATAAATAGGGACAAAGGGATCCTCTCCTTACAAGGCATTAACATTATACAGCAGGAGTTGGCAAACTTCAGCCCACAAGCCAAATCCAGGCTGTTGTCTCTTCTTAGGATAAAGTTTTATTGGGACACAGCCACATCCATTCATTTATGGCAGCTTTCATGCTGCCATGACAGGTTGAGTGGTTACAACAGACTGTGTGGTCTGTTGAATCTGGCCTGTTCGAGAAAAAATTTGGCGCCCCCTGTTCTTCAGCATCTGGCATAGACTCAGAACATAACACAGTCTCATTCCTGTGTCCGTATGGGAACTTGGTATAATCATTCCCAGCAACTGGTACTAGGAAAACCGGCTCACAAAAGGAAAAAATTAAACCATTTCCATACTTCATACCATAAATGAAGATCCAAGTAGATTAAATATCTAACGGTTAAGAATGAAAATACAAAGCTGATAAATGAAAATTTAAGAATATATTTTTTAACCTTATGGGAGAGAAGAGTTTATTACATAAGATTCACAAAGCATAAACCATAAAATGAAAATTGATGAATACATCAAAATGACTGCTTTTTGTTCAATGGAGGGTACCAACAGGAAAACTAACAGATGGCAAAAATATAATTGTCATGTTTAATAGACCAAGATCAATATTTAAATATACAAGGGACTCTGAAAGATCAGAAAATGAAAGGGAGAAAACCAATACAAAAGAGGGCAAGATGAATTGGCAATTCATAGAATGAGAAATACGCAAATGGAGACGAGTTAAAACTAAGATGCCATTTTGCCTATCCTTGCAGTAAAACTAGGATATCAGATATTCTCAAGTGCTAACAAGGATGTGGGAAAGTACAAGTCTGTTGGTATTATTTCTGGGAATGCAAACTGGTGCATATGTTTTAGAAAACCTAAGTATTAAATAAACCTATGTAATGGGAATCTAGCATAGAAACTCAGGAAAATATATGTCATGATAGTTATCATAGTGTTATTTGTGGTAAATGACTGAAGACAAGGTAGCTCTTCAGCACTAGAGGGATGGACAAGGAAAATTCAAAAGTAGAATATTGAGAGAGGGAATAAGCAGGGAAAAGGAAAGAATTGCATTCTGTTTATGGCAACATAGATGGGTCTCCAAGACAATGCTGAGAGAAAAAGGCAGAATGCAATTTAAAGCTGATACAAATTACATACACATTTTAAAATCATGTATAAGAACTGAATATTTTTGACATTAATATTTATAAACATGCAATGAATATTATAAACACAACATTACTAATGAAAAAATGTAGCCCTGTGGTGGGAGAGGAAAGGGACCCGGAATAGCCAACCCCATTTTGTGATATCATCCTTTTTATAATCCTGTTCTGTTTTCTCCACTGGTTGATCTATTTTCTTCAGTTCTGTGGCAGGGTGGTTCCTGAATTAGAAAAAAGAGAGGCTCCCAAGGGTGGTGGTGTATATCAGTCATTGAGAAAGTAACTGCCACATATAGGCATCCAACTGATGGAAAATCATTCCTTGATAACTCTAGATGCCCAGTGCCAAATCTTACTTCACCCCCCAACTCACATCCCAAAACAGGATATGAAACATTTCTCATACTTTGCTCTATCCTGGCTCTGTATCAGTCAGGAGTTGTTCCCATCTTGAATTCTCTTTTGCCCCTTCCTTCTTTTTCTCAAAATTTGGAAATTTTACTCTTGTAGTTGTCTGGGAGTGCTCATATGTTTGTGTAGTTATAAGTTAAACTGCGTTAGTACCCTTTCTAAATTGCCTTTATATAAATAAAGATAAAAGCATTTAAGACCGGTTTACAGTCAGTGCTTAACAATGGACATTTTCAGCTTAGCAAAGATGTTGAGATGGGTGAATAAATATAAAGAGTACATGACAGGTGGGACCTAGGGGATTTGGGGTGAGGTAGCAGCCTGCAGTGCAGAGAAGGGATTTAAGAAAATGGCTCTGTTGTCCATGAGGGAGCTTGTGCTTGAAAGTGTGAGCTATACTGGCAGAGAGAGTAGAGTATTACCCAGAATATATCTTAGTGGACATTAAATGGGGAACAGCTTAAATGATGTATTCTTTGCAAGAAATAATCTGTACTAATGCACTTTGTTTTCTTTAAAGTTGTATGTGATCTGAGTCTCATGAATTTCATAAATGCCCATTTCCTAAATCATCTTCTCTTTCAGATTTCAACTGTGAAGAAATGTCATTCAGATTCGGCCAACATCTCGTCAAGCCCTCTGTGGTCTTCCTCAAAACTGAGCTGTCCTATGCGCTCGTGAACAGGAAGCCCGTGGTACCAGGACGTATCCTTTTTTCTTTCTAAAAATGGGAAACTAAAAAGCTTCTAAACCTAACACACCACAGAATACAGGATTGGCCTCCAATGTCCATCAAAAAGGTAAGCAAAGAATCCACCTGACCTTCCGCTTTGGAGAAACCAGGTAAGATGTTACATTTATTCTGAATCCAGTTGGCACCAGCAATATGCTTGATCAATGCTGTAGAGCTTCTGAGAAGAGTTGCTTAGCAACTGTGGCTCTGGAGGTGAGTTTTCCCTTGACCTTTTCACTATCGTAGCTGTGTAAATAGGTGCTTCTAAAACAGGCCCAATGACTATCACGGGTACTTTGTTTTCAGTTATCAATTGTGAATTTTAATAGTAAAATCGAGAATGGATGGCACAGGAAGATTTGAGACTGACTTCTTCGTGGACATACACATAAATATATTTACAAAGTATTTTATTTCATATTAGGGTCTGAAACAGTATTTTCTCTTGGAAGACATCCCAGCTTCTGTATCATTGTCCGGTGTTATTGGTGGTAGATGTGTTTTATTTTCCTCTGACCACCGAGGAGACCTTCCTCTTACCCCACCTACTGACCTCAGTAGGAGCTTATTCTTTGCAGTGGGAGTAGCAGGCTTCGGCGAGATGCTCTGGGAAGCTGTGTATATGTTGTTGGAAGTGTCACTCCTGACTGTGTGTATGACTTTTGTATTGACTTCAGATTTTTTTCTCTTTTTCCCCCTAACTCTGCTATGCAGAGGGCAACAAAATATAACATTTCATATTTTAAGATAACCATTTTCCACCCTGAGCCATGACTTTACTTGGAAATGAAATTCTCAGTATTTCTGAATTTCTGAATATGTCAAGATTATTTTCCAAAATAAGTTATTTTTTTTTCCAGTGGGAATTTTCAAAGTGCTTGAGGAGTCTATGACTAATCTTCTTTCTTGGCCATGTAACTAATGTGTATTGAAAAAAAGGCACATAAGAAAACACACATCAAGAGATAATTGAGTTTGTGGTAGTCTTCCAAATTCCTTGAATCCAAACTTTAAATAACTTTTGTAAGTTTATGGAACTAATGATCAAGCAATAAACTAGCAAATAATATTATGTAAATTTTTTCCTGATAATATTTAACTCTTTATAAAATAGTCTAAATTATAAATACTCAACATAAGGAAATTACATTCTTCTATTTATTGAATTAAAAGAAGTAAAAACTGGAATGATTTAGAAAGGTCCTATAAAACAGAACAATATTTAAGTTGTATACCAGTTTTCTACTGAGTTCTTCTAAAAGACCTTGAAGTTCTTGAAATAACAGAAGCATTTTATTTTTTTCATTTGATTCTGCTGCAAGTTTATGGTTGTATTTTTCCTTTGAGGAGTGTTCTTGAAGTAAAATGTCTGAGAATTCTGGTGCTAAAAGAACATGGCTTAAATGCCGTCTTTCTATGGGTGCTATGGGTGCCGGCTTTGCTTGACTTTTATCGAAGAACTAAGGAAACCTGGGATGTAAATGTGAAATTAGATGAGCAAATCTTAATGTGTTGGACTGAGAAAATGTGAGGTGGTAAAATTGCATTGCATTTTAAATAGTTAATAATGGACTGAACTTTGTGATTTTTTTTCCTCCCTCTTGATAAGATCTTATCTCGATCTTATTTTTTCATGGCCTTTTTAATCAACTCTGAAAGTGTGATGTGTAAGACCTGGGTCATAATATGTGTTTAACTCAAGATGAGTTGAGATGTATGCCTCCAGGGAAACATCTATCCTGAGTGGTGAACATTGAGTGAATGAAGAATAGTTTTGTTCCAGGTAACACTGGAAATGAGCGCTGGTCTGTTCCCACATCTTTAAGTAAATGCTAAGGAAATGGGAAGATTTTATTAAAATTAACCAACCTCGGCTTGTATGGAAGATACCAAGAAGGACCCAGCCCTTCCTGAGGATGAGAATAGTAAGAAACCGGAATGTTTGTGTAATCTGTGTGCTTTGTAAGGCAATTTCACATCTGCAGTGTTTAAAGCAGTCTGAGAGCCAGAAGATGTTTTCAAGACAATCCTTTTTCTATAATGATTTTGGAATCTTTTCTTTTCCTTTATTTTTGTAAACTCTGTTAGGTGACCCCTGTGAGAAGAATCTCTGTAAGTCAATCATTCACTTGCGCACATTGATATTTGTTTGTCCTGTGGTTGGGAATTGAAGCCCTAGATAGCATAATTGAAGCCCTGCCCACTTTGATGATGCAAATACTGAGATGTCTGCAGTG